TCTCGTCTTCGCCCAGTCGTCTTTGCGACTTTTTATTCTTTTTTCCTGCGTGGCCCAACGCGGATGACTCAGCGCCGATGACGGATCGCCTAAAGCCTGACGGATCGAACAGCTGGAATAACGGATCAACAGATGGGATGACAGGCTGGCTGGCAGCGCAGAAAGACGCTGGAGGACGGGGACCAGCTTCATCTCTGGCGGACCGAGAGGCCGGCGGTGTCTGTCTGTCTCCCAAAGTAATTAACAGACAGGACTGCATGGCTGGGTCGGATACACGTCACGAAGGCTCATGGAAGTGTTACTTCTCTTTACCTGGGCCGTGGGCGGCTTAGGGGCCTTTAACTGACTCTTAGGGGGCAAACCTAGGCTTCGTGGGGCGTTCCTTTAACTAACTCCCGGCGCTCAACGCCTAAAGGGCAGCCCCTAAACTCGCCCTGAGCAAGCCTAAAAGCAAGCCTTCACGCCCAGGCTCGGCGCTGCCAGGGGGGTCGCCCTAAGCTTCCGCCGCATCTTTCTGGCCTTTTCTGGACGACGTCCGTCTCCTGCTTGCTGTCTACCTCCCTTTGACGATATATTAACACACACCCACGATGACGCTGTAGCAGGTCAGGTTGGCTTCATGATTTCAGCCCGTCCCCTGCAGCCACTGCACTGGTCGCAGTCTCTCAGGAACCGCTGCCAATGGACGGCTAGCAGGCCAGCCTCGACGTTTGCTGCGCTCTCGTCTCGCCCTCAGTCCAAACTCCAGATCTACCAGTCCCTCTCCAGCGACCCCTTTGTCAACCTCTCCCTCGAGAACTTCCTCTACGAACACTCCCCGCCGGACTCCAAGATCCTCTTCCTGTACATAAACAGGCCCTGTGTCGTGATCGGGCGGAACCAGAACCCGTGGCTCGAGACAAACCTGCGCCTGCTGAGGAGCAGCACCGGCCTTGAAAACAACGGAGAAGGCGGTAATACCGTCAATGATGGGAGTGCCCTATTCGTTCGACGACGGTCTGGTGGTGGCTCGGTCTTCCATGATGAAGGGAACCTGAATTTCTGCGTGATCTGTCCCAAGCCGATATTCCATCGAGATAAACACGCCGAGCTCGTGGTCAGGGCATTGAAGAACGTTGGGGCTTTAAGAACAAGAGTCAACGAGCGTCATGATATCGTTCTTGGTCAGGATGCACAGGAAGAGCCGTCTCCTCTGGTAGTCAAGGCAGGGCCTTCAGACCAAGATGCCGAAAGCCCACCGCTAGAGAAACCCGTTCGGGCCGTCAAGATCTCGGGTTCGGCATACAAACTGTCAAGATTCCGTGCTTTGCATCACGGCACCTGTCTGATCGATTCGCCAAACCTCGGGCAGATAGGACTCTTTCTGAGGTCTCCTGCTCGTCCATATATCAAAGCAAGGGGTGTTGAGAGCGTCAGGTCCCCCGTTGGAAACATATCCTCCGCCTTGGACGAATCAGTCCGGCCATTCCTCATGCAGCAGATAATCGGGGAAATCATGGAAGAATTTGCTCTGCTATACAATCTCGACCGCAATGCGTTGCGGAAAGCTCAAAGAGCCCACGCCAACGATCCGGAGCTGTCTTCGGGGGACGACTGGGTTACCGGCATCTTGACGGATGAAGACGCAAGAAATGAGCCCGAGGTGTGCAAAGGCATACAAGAACTGCACGTAAGTCAGCACACCCACCCGCTGCTATACCCTTTTACTCGAGTTCTGTTATTAACACCTACATAAATTTTTCAGTCTCTTGAATGGAAATACAAACAGTGTCCCCAGTTTACATTCTCCACGCATCCAACAGAGGAGGATCCCCGGCCTAGGCCAGAGATATCACCTGCCCTCTCCCCTTCGGTATGTCTCAACCCTGCAAGCTCCGCCACATTGCCCTTCCCTCCCTACCAAATGTAGTGCACTAACTGACTACGATTGATGGTGTCGTGACTGCAGACCAAGGCGTTCTTCCGAGTTAAATCTGGTCTCATCATTGAAAGTCACATTTCTACATCACCAGACCCAGATACTGCACAGTATGAAGCAAACTGTGTTCATAAAATCCTGCATAACAGGCCATTGCATGAAATATGGGACTGGGCATCAGTGCTCAGCTCTGCTTCTGCACTTGCCAGCCAAGAGAGTGCACACCCTGGTGCCTTTGCGTCGAAGGCTCCAGATAACGAGCTCTCGAGCCTTGCCAAGTGGCTCGAGAGTCAGCTTGGACACTGATCCGTCAACAGGTTGACAGATGTTATTATTGACGCGCAATATATGTACAATATAAAAGACATTGCTTAGTTACATTAGACCTGGATGCGAATATAGAGCACATGCTTACGCAAGAGGTCGTGGCAGCTACTTTTACCATCTACCAACTGGTACTATCAAAAGTGACATAAGAGGGTGGCTCAGCAAGCTGGCAACATACGAGAGGAACTTGCTTACGAGGCATAGTCAATGAACATACCAACGAACCCCTGGGAAATACAGTACAAAACAACGCACGGAGTATCGAACTGAATAACAGAGACGGAGTAATTCGTTCCAATGTATTAAATCGGTATCCAGAAGCGCCTCTTCAACTGGGGAACCATGTCTGTATTTCCATATAAAAACAAAACTCCATCATAATGCATGCAAGCAGGATCGATTTCACTTCGTTCCCTATGCCCTCGTGCCCGTATGTACCTATGTATTTCCGTCCCATTTGGAATCTTTCATATCTTTCATATAATACTCCGTGCGCAATATTCCCCGGGATACGAAGACACGGCATGGGGGCGTTGCTATCCTGCTCCCATCCTCAGGATCTCTTTATATTGCGGCATATAGTTACGATCCCTATAACAGGGACAGTTAAACTACCTCTCGACCTTCGCTAACTCATACACAGGCATGCCAACATGACGAAGCAGATCCCTCTGAATAGTTACGGGAGCAGTTAACAAGCCTAGTAATTCAATATCTATGGCTGGATTCCCCTGCCCATCTGCCTAGTCGGCTAGTTACGAGTGCGCGGGCCCTTTGCCGGGGGATTGAACAATTTAACTACCAACCCGCCTCACTCGTTCCCCCCCTGACTAGCTAGTTGTTCAGCCTGGCTAGAACCAGCTGGCCGTGTGTGCACTCAGACTGATCTTGTGCTTGTCCCATGTTGACTGCCCGTATCGAGCAATTGAACTACCCCTGTCAGGATCTTCGGCAAGGAACTTGGGGCGGAAAACCAGAGGCGATTATCATTTGGTTCGCCTTTACACCGACGCGCGGGTTGATCTTCCCTCCCGGGCCCCTGGCTTCGGCCTACATATGCTGCCTGTCCTCGGTGCAAGGCATAATAACTGCGCAGTAAGGCAGATAGGCGAACGGGGAACCAAGGGCAGTTGGAGCCGGAAAGGCTATTAACTTAGATGCTGCATGCACGGGGTCGCGGCGCCAACAATATACTGCCGCCCCTAGATATACCGAGGCAGTACAGGCAATAATGCGGGATTGGTAACGGCTGGATTGGATTGAATTGTTGATTTAAATGAGAATACTTAAATACATGTATTGGAGAAAAGAAAGAAAGAGTTTGCTGAAAAAAAGGGCCCCTGAGAAACAGCCCGCATGTCCGCGTAGAATCAATATCAAATTTCCATCCTTTCCCAGAAAAAAAAAAAAAGAACAATCATGAAAGCAATCTGTGGGCATATAACCCCGGTAAAGAGCATCTCGGTAGAAAGACAAAAGAAACGAAGTAGACAAGAAGAGAAAATGGGAAGAAAATTTCACACAGGTACTCCAAGATCTAAACTCCTTGCCCGGCCTACTGTTTTGTTGGCGTTTCGCTGCTCTCCTCAGGGGCATCTGTAAACACATCATCGATAGACCTCATAGATTTAGAAACTGGGATTAATCCCTTCCCTTTACCTTTCTCATGATCATTATCATTGGTGTCGACTTGCTTTTGTTTCATTTTCTTGTCTTCATCGCGTTCATCATCGTCGTCAATGGTATCCCCTGCACCGGCGTTGACAACTCTCAGCCTTTCCTTCGGCACAGTAAACGTAACCTGTACCACTCGTCCCTCAGCAGCTGCCTCAACATCCCAGTCTTCATCGTCAAAGTCATAATCGTCCTCACTACTTCTGAAGCTTGCGCCCCCTACCGCACTTCCAACCTCGGCGGATGAAGACTCATACCGGGGTTTCCCTTGTCTTAATATTGAACTGTCTCCCGATTTGCGCTTTGCATTCCAATCTTTGGCACCTTGTTTGCGCCTGAGGACTGAAGAGCTTGTGCTGACTGCTCGATGCGGACGCTGTGACGTTCCTTGTACGATTTCCAAATAGCCCGGATTCTCTTCGTCCGGTAAACTGTAGAAGCTTTTTGTTGGACTTGTGCTTGAACTCCGCTGGTTTGATGCACGGGACTCTGCCTGGTTAGGTGCTTTATTCGAGCCTCCAGATGTTTCTGATTTTCTTAACGAGCCAAGAACTCGCCGAATGGTCCCTGCTAGCTCTAAAGTTATAGGCCCCTGGCGTTGGTCTGCAGGTTGATTTGGGTCTTGTTGAGGCATCCAAGAGGGGTTAGTACCTAACAGAGAGGACCCTTCTGCCTGTAGCTGAGCGTAAGAGAGCTGGGAGGATGGTCTGCCGGATAAGGCAACTCGGCCAGGAACTGCTCTGTCAGAATCGGCCGTGTGCCCCCTTTCAGAGCTACCGACGTTGGATGGGTTGCCAAAATTGGACCTCTGTGACACTGAACGATCTAACAACTTTGGATTCGTACGATGTGAGGATGATGAAGTGCCTGAGGTGCCAGATAGGTTGGAGAGTGTGCGGTCTTGCTTTTCTGACGTGATACTAGGAGGCTTCTCTAGCTTCTCAGAGCTCAGAGTATGTACCCATTCGTGTATGTTCTCATCATTGGCGTGCGATCTAGACTGATCCTCTGGCACAAGGGATGGGAAGCAGTCCTTGGTCGGGGTAGGAGGGTCCTTGAAAGGATCCGAGTTGTTAGAACACTTGCTATCTCGACACCCAGCCGCCCCTGCTGGAACTGGCTGAATAGCATCGTATTCCTCTCCTTCATCAATGGGCTGGATTTGGGAGAATTTGATATTTCGTCTTGGGTCATCCTGCAGAATGCCTGGCTGGTAACCTCGAGATCGTACACTAGCCCGCAAGCCTCTAGTTGGACTTGGGTTGTCTACCAAGAGGCCTGTCCTTTCCGCTGCAAATGGAGAATTTTGGATATCGCTATATCCACCAAACTCGTATTGCTGAGCGGAGTCTATTTGCATCATTTGCTGATCGGGTGCTTCAAAATGAGGCCGTTCAGCACCTAATGCAAGGCTCCGGAGTGTTTGTTCGCGGGCTTTACGGTGCTCACGGGCGCGTCGATTGCGGCAGACGAAGAAAACAAGTACAGCAGCTAAAGCAGCGATTGGAACCCCAATGCCAATGCCTACCCCAAGGCCGACTTTCTGCAATGTTGTAGAGAGGGGCCCTCTCTGGTGTTCGTTTGGAACAGAAGCAATATCTGGGGGAGTATATGATGTAACCCAAGTTCCAGAACTGGTGTTGAAGAGAAAGGTCTGGTCGTTAGCTACAAACTCATCGCTCGACCTTTTGAACGACCGGGGTGGTATTTTGTATCCTCCAGTTATAAGCAGTACATTGCCGGGAAGCATGGCAGCTCCATGACCAAACACTCCTGTATTTTCAGGGAGTCCGTCTGGCGAGCTCTTTGGGATTTTCCATGTCCAGTCGCCAGAGCCTCCATAATCCTCGCCGATGTCAAGGATAGCTAGCTGGGGTTGTGCCGGCACGGAAGTGTCCCCAACCCAACCCCCGAATATGACAATTTTGCTGCCATCTGCAGTAAGGACTGCTGTATGACCAGACCGTGGCTCAATTCCGGATATACCTTCTGGTAACCTTGCTTGGGATGAATCACTCAATGCTTGGTTGACTGTAACGTAGCTCCAACTCTCCTCAGGTAGGGAAAATAGTGCTATCTGTGACATGTTGACGAATGCACTTTGCGTATGGCCACCAGCGAGAACGAAGCTCTGGTGACGCAACCTCGCACCAGTTAATGAATTTGAGTATGCAGGTACAAGAGGGGTCATACTGAAACCTGCCTCGGCCACGGGAGGAGATCTGATGGATAACGCTTCGATGTTGTAGTCTGGACTAGGAGAAGGCATTTCCGTTTGGAGATAGGTCATATTCCTGGAGTACTCAGCGTCTGCTATCCAGGACCTGTGTCTCCTTTCGTCGGTTGGGCACATCCCGGCAAACACGTAAATATCAGGAGCTGAATCACTTTCCGGGGTCGAGAATCCAATACCGGCTGCGAGATAGTTTGGACCCCTCCATGGTATGCCACTTCTACCTTTCTTTTGCTGAATCGCAGACTTGAGCCATTTCCCATTCATATCACCCGTGTCTTTTGCATTTTCACTTTCAAACCGCCAAACTTCGGCCTTGGAAGACCGGCAATCCCCCGCATAGATTGTAGGGATGCCCTCCAGGTCCACAATAGGAATTATCGACTTTGCATCGTTGGGAGAGAAGGGGGGCGGAGCGATGTTCGAGAAGGACGGCGATACGGCATCGAATGACCTGGTGAGGTTGATGTATTGAAACCTAACCTCATTGGATGTCGACGATATGTAATAGGCAACTGTGTGATTTTCGGCGGTGGTAGACACCCACAAGGATGAAGGGTTGTATGGTAAATCTGCTGCTGCTGCCAGCACGATGAAGGTGCTGGCAGCAAAAGTTTTGAACATTCTGAGTCCGCGACCCAAAGCAGTCGATCACCTGGGCCTGTTGTCAACAATAAAACATGGGCCACTCAACCTCCCATGATCTATATTCCAGTGTAATAATGAAGCGGCGCGGGCCGGTCTGGTAGTTCTGACTTGTCTGAGGGGGGACTCGACGGCTCACGGCATGATCACAACAAACTGTCCAACAAGAAGAACAACAACTAGCAATATGGCCTTTCAAAATAATTTCCCAGGACGAGCGAAGATCCAAACCGGCGGGGGAGGTGGGAAGGAGGCGACAAAGTGATAATAATAACAAGATCCAAATTAATTATTGATGCAGTGGGGTGGCTGGTGACTCGCATCGAGGGCTGCTGGAGCTGCTGGACCCCTCGGGCTCTAGAACCAGGTTTGGCCTCTCCGTGGTCCAAACGTCATTGGTGACCCAGAGGATAAAGGCCAAATTTTTTTTCTTATATTGCGAGTTCCCACTTGATCGCTTCAGCAACGGCCGCAGGCCTCCTCCGCAGCTTCGTATACACAGCCGACATGCTGGTTGATGTTGTTTGGCAGTAAACAAAAGAAAATAAGCGCCGCGGTTGCCGGGCAACAGCCGAGGCGCCCTATCACATGACGGCGGCTCGCGTTTACTTTTAGCCGGCGGATGTTGTTCCAACCTCACCCATCCATCGCTTCCAGTGGGTGCGAGATATCAAAAGGAAAACGACGACAGGGAGGTTTGGGGTCCGTCCCTTTCTTTTCTTTTGCGATCATGATCTGCCTGCTTCACACCACCACGGCGCCGAGCAAGGAACAGGAACTAATTAACCTTACGTCGCCGGGCTGTTGCGAGTGGTGCAGTCATCTCTCTCCTTCGCACACCCCCCTCCGCAGCCCTCCTGGACCTCCTCGCGCATGTCAAGGTCACGCTCGAGTTCTTCAGCAGCAACCAGAAGGTTAAAGTGGTCTCGGTGTTCTACTTGCGATTCCACGCTATGGGTGTCTTACCTGCCATCGTCCAATGTCGTCATCGAACGCGGGCACTTGCAAGTCGAGGGCCACACCACCATCTTGAGATAGACAGAGCGGCATCCTGACGGCTACAACGGAGTGTTACCACCGTCTATGACACTCTCACAAACCATCACAGCAAGTGTCCCTAGACGTATACTCGATACAAGGGTAATCAGAAGCTTCTTTGCCTTCAAACAAAATCAGCAGCATACCAAGCTCACATGGCTATAAAAATGTGGCCTAGGTAGGCAGTAGAAGCAAGGCTGTGGCCAACTTTAGTTCGAGCTATGGGAATCGAACAATATACGTACATTATTCGTGGCTGTGGCAATCACGGATCCCGCCAGCCCGGTCGCCCGCCTCTCTTTGTTTGAACGGTTTGCAGTTGAAATTATTATTTAAATTCCTTACGGTTTCCGATCACTTCCGCCGGGGGAAGAGCAGGAGTGAAAATGCGTGAGCAAGGAATCTAGTGAGTTTCCCATGCCGCGTCCACACGCTCACACATCTTGCATATCATTGCGGCAATGCTTATGCAAGGGCAAGGCGCGCATACAACGATGCTCAAACCAGGATATGTGAAAGGGCCGACCACACCCTACATTCCCACGCGTGATAAGAGATAACAAAGTCTACATTTTCAACCTTCAATCTAAAATCACTCCCAAGGCTGGCAGTAATGGGGCCATATGACAAGTTCCATGCACATTTAGTTGCCCCAGAAATGTTGTGACGAATTCCTGGATACTCGATTTCAAGGCCCAAGCCGTACTTTGGCTTCTGGAAAGCTGACTGGCGGATAACAGTCTCCCCTTAGTTCGTCCTTGCCCTTGAAGCTTCCAAAGTCATGCGACTGGGGCAAAGTCAAGAAGCTTAAAAATACAATACAATCTCGATTTCGGTTGCTCCGGAATGAGTAATTCTGGGTCTCGAGTGGCCTATTCGTGCTCCTCCATAATACTAACACAGTTGCCTAGGGACGAAGCAGAGGTCGATCTCCAGGTGAGAGCTGTGTAGCTCTGCCACCTCCAGCGTAGTATTTTACCTTTTTTCTTTTTTGTTTTTTACTCACAAATATATGGTTACAGCGTAAGGACTGTATGGATAGTCAGTTATCTGTGCTATCGCCTATCGCCGCCACGGGGAAGAGGACAATAGTAACCGATGACAACGCCAAAAAGAAAAAAGTGGAAGATGAGCTGCTAACAACGGTATTCTGGGAAGCAAGCAAAAACTAGAGGACCTGCAAAGTCCTTCGGAGGAATTATCCAAAAACCAACTTGTTATCGCCGGGGGGAAAGTGCCTATCATCCGCCGCCCAGTTATGTACCACACAGTTATGGAGTACATGTGTATGACAGATGTGGATTTAACTTTCGATGAAGCTGGGAATTCCAGCAATTATTACCATCACTCTGCAGCATCATCGTCCCCCTTTCACATCGAGAATGGGCGGAACGGGAGCTGGTAAAAGAGGCCAAATGGTAGTAGAGTGCACCTATTCTCCCTGCCCAGGTCCAGGTAAAACAAAAGTCAGTTTTGTATCGGCGATAAGAGGCGGCCTGGCAACCAAAGACGGACGATGGCTCGAGCCCTGTATACAAACAAATGGTTGTACGGACATGCTCTCGAGAGGCTACTTCCTGGTATATTTTACGGGGTTGTTCCCCCTTTTTATCCACGGAAGAAAAGCAGGGAAGGACTGGCGATGGAAGAAACATGCAGTGCTGCCGTGTATTCCACACGGAGCAAGAATGCCGTCCTCTGTTCGTCTGTGTGTAAGGGCTTCCGCAACTTTTCTTTGGCTATGCTGGTTACAACTTTACCACCTATGACGAGCGAGCGGCAGGCGGGTGTACCGACCAGAAAACCAAGATACCGGGATCCGTTGACTACAACACCCTCACCCACCCTAAAAGCGACGCAAAAAAAAGGAATTCTTTAGCTGTGGCGGCTGAACCGCCAAAAAAGAAAATATACACACATTCATCAGTTGTAATCGACGAGATGAGTAAAGTTACATACGATGTAAGGAGAAGGTATGAAGATAAACGAGAGAGGAAGAGGGTCAAAGCACAGACGTGAACGGCGTCTTCGTCCAAGGGGGGATTTTTGTTTGCTTTTCTTCCTCTGCTATTCGTCCCTTGGCCTGGCTTTCGTTTCTTTTGAGGATAGGCAAAAGCAGCTGCTGAGTGTGAGTGCCTGGACTGTGCAGGCTTCCCTCGTCTTCCCTTCGGGGTAATCCAACAGGATTGCCTACTTGGGCTGTTGGCTGTCTGGCGTATCAGATCCACGGTATTTCGCTAGGGTCGAAGAAAGATATAGGTATCGTTTCTTCTTTGCGAGAAGACCCCGGAGATCTCCCGAGTTGTGGCACACCTCGTCGTTGCATACAGTATGTGCATGTATGTACCTATGAGATGGCCCGTGATATCAGCCCAACCGCAAGGTGGTTTGGAGTGTATCTTGTGCCGGACAGTACTTATAACGGCCAACCAGAATGGATGGGTTTGAAAGTCACAGCTGAGAGAGGAGGATGTGCTGCCCATCTTACATTTCTAGAAAGCGGTAGGGAAATGTATGATATATGGGTCACTTAACAAACATCCGTTATGATGCGTATGTAGTTAAAATCAAACAACTGTCGTGGATTTTGGAAGGACAGGGCAGTAAGTAGTCCGTAAATCAACATTTAGTCCGCTGAAGCGGCCCAGATCGGCGGGAGGAAGATGCTAGTCAAAGTACCCGACGACTTACTGTAATATACGTCGACATCAATCAACCCTTGACACTGAACTGCATAACTCGCCAACCTGCATGAGACATCATCAATTCATGACTGTGAATAATTAGTCATTATGTTCATGGTTGACCACGAGTCCGGGGCTATATCAGAGAGCAGATATAGATATATATATCAGTTGTGCTATGTATGCCACCTGCGGGAGGCTTGTTTCAAGTTCAAGGTTAAACAGATAGACAGTTAGACAGCCAAAGCGGATCTCACACCCTCTTCGTCTTTGCTCGTGGGCTACGTGAGTTGGACAGTTGAAGACGTGGTCCCCAATAACGGTCTGCTTTAGTTTCTTCCTTTTTTTCACCCCCCGTTAACTAACTAGTTATTCTTGCCCGCAGATGTGGGACGCTAACAACCTGGTAACCGTCTTTGATGTTGGTTGAAGACACCACCGCGGGAATTTTTCAAGCGCCAATAACTAATGGGTATAGGGTATAGCAGGTAAGTACTCGGGCCATCCGATCCGTCCTTGAACGTGCCGTGAGATATCTTCTCCCTGGCCTCGCAAAGTACCAGAACGAGGAGTAAAACAAAAAGCCGGTGCTTGGGCCTCTGTCGAGACCCACCACATGGACCTCTTGGCCATGTCCTTCTGCTCGCTGCCCGCCAGTACAAAGTTGGCTGCGAGGTGCGATTGGCCGGCGAGGAGAGATGGAGCGTCCTTGGGATCTGCTGCGTGTCTGTCCATCTTGGTCTCTCAGGGAGAGGGGGAAGAAGTAATGGCATCCCGTAGCTCTGATGGGCCATCATTCTCGTACGGGATATTAGCCCGCCGTCAAGAGCGGGGGCCACTTTAAGGCTCAAGGGAACGAAGCCGTCCGTCGTATTTTATCTTTCAACTGTCGTGCCGGTTGAAGAAGAATAATCATAATAAGAGTAAATAACGTAAGTAGATGCCGAGTTGACTCTCCAGCCGTTCTGTAGAATGCTGCTGCACGGCGCTCGAAGGGGAAGAGCATCCCCCTGCCAACCTTGACTGACCGAGCAAGGGGGCAGATGAAGCCGTCAGGGATGCGATGGACGCATCGCTGCTGGCCAGGAGAAATAATTACTCCGTCTGCCAAAGGTGCGTATCCTGGGTAACTAATAATGAATACATATGCTGATGTGCTGTATTCAAGTAACTATATGCAAGTCACTCTCTGTTCCGCAGTGGGGGGGTGGAAGGGAGCAAGCATACTTACATCGATAGATATCACTTTTTTTCTTCTTCCTGTTGGCTTGCTCCCCTCTGTTGACAATCCAAGAAGAAAGGGGATATCTACATACCTTCTTTTCTTTTTCACTCCGTTAGTTATCTCGTCGTCGTGACGGAGGAGACGGCCTTGCGATGAGTGTGATATCACACTATCTTCCAGACGGCAGCAAAGAGTCTGGACTCGCCATCCCGTCATAGTTACCGTGGCAGATACCGGGGATTCAAAAACGAATATCACCATTATTCCTTCTTCTTCTTCTTCGTCGTCTGCCCTCCTGTAGCCTTTCCCTCTTCGCTGGTTTAGCTTTCATGCAGAGACCAGAGGAAAAGAGAGACCTTGCCTGCGGCCGGGGGGGGGGGGGGGGGCACAAGGTGTAGCCAGTAGAAGCTGCGATTTCAATAGCAGCCGGATCTTCCATGGGCAGCCAGACGGCCATCTGTAGGCGACTGTTACCGCAGACGACGATGGTAGGCCAGCCGCCTCCCTCCCTCTCCCTCCCTCTCTCCCACTGAGTACTTCGATATCTACTGACTTAGCGTGGGGAGACAAGCGAGGCCTCTTCTGCTAGTGGACTTGATATCTAACTTTTGATGCTGTGCAAGCTTCATCCCTGCGGGTTTCGTAACGGGAGATAAAACAAAAACCAAAGAACAAGTTTGATCTGTCTTCTCTTCTAACCAGATCAACTAACTGCACTCACTCGGCGAGAAAGGGAGGAGAGGGAGCGGGAAGTGATAGACGCTGAGAAGGGAGCCAGGGGCCACCAGGGGAGGTGGTGGTGTTATTGCGCAGGGAACGGGGGGAACGGGGAGAGAGATGCAACCAAACCAGGCATGGTTCACGGGCCGTAACTTGCAGAGAGCTTGAACGGGGGGAGCTTTCGAGGGACGGACGGTGGTCGACACTACTCCGTACACTATCAACCATGGTTGTTCCACTGTAGCAGAGCTGCTGGTCCTTGGAGAGCCAAAAAGCAAAGAAAAAAAATGGTGGAAGAGAGAGGGCAGGGTTCAGTTCCAGAGTTTCGAGAGAGAGCGAGCGATGACTGCCTGCTCTGCTCTGCTGCCTTGCCCGTCCTGATGCCCGCCGTAGGACCGTGTGAAACGACCAGGACGATCGCCGCATCTCGTCTCTGCTCAGCTCCAGCTTCGCCGTGTCTCCCAGCGTCCTCAGGCCTCTAAATCTCCGGCGCCCGCGATGGATGGCTGTGTGCCCAGGCAGTAGTTATACGGAGTGCCAGCTCTATCTACTTACCCCCAACTAATCAACCTCTTGTCTCCTGCCTTCTCCCACGCCGATCCTCCGCAGTCGATGTCCGAAGCTACGGATCCTCCATCATCGTCGCCTGCGTCCTCCATCTCCTTCACCTCGCTGTCGCCGTCTCTCTCTATACACACTCTATACACTCTATACACTCTCTTAACTGTTTATATAGAATGAAAATCCCCGTAATAAAACGAGGGTAACGAGCAATACAGACAGTGTATCGAGTATCGTAACGTCCCGTAATGACGATACCACTTTACCCCCCGCTAAACCCCTTCTGGCCTAGCGTGCCACCCTCCCCCTCCTTCGCTCGCCCAAAATACAAAAAGAGTAACCAAAG